TTTTTTGTAACCATGGCCAGATCTGTGTCTTGCCACAATTCTATCTCTCAGCTCTTCAGGCAGTTCCATTGACCTCATTTGCTCTGACATGCACAGTGAGCTGTAAGGTATAGACATATAGATATAGATATATGGCTTTCCTAATCAAGTCCAATCAGTTTAATCAAACACAGCTGGACTCCAATGAAGGTGTAGAACCATCTCAAGGAGGATCAGAAGAAATGGACAGCATGTGAGTTAAATATGAGTGTCACGGCAAAGGGTCTGAATACTTATGACCGTGTGATATTTCAGTTTTTCTTTTTGAATAAATTTGCAAAAATTTCTACATTTCTGATTTTTTCTGTCAAGATGGGGTGCTGAGTGGAATTTTAACTACATAACTATTAACCTCTGTTACATATATCTACTGTATATACGTCCTGTCCCTAACTTCTCAGTCCTGCTTTGCTCCTACTCCTACTTTTTCATGTCTGTTGAAAGGGTTCAGTTTTTGTCCAACTGCATGAACTAAGGTGTAATCTTTTAAATAGATTTCCCTCTGTAAATAAATAAACATGAATCAATGCAGCCACAGACACAAAGATAAAACTGAACCTTTTTCTGTGTTGTAATTCTAAGCACTGTTGGGCTGCACTGACTATAACATTACAAACACAAGAGAGCCATCTGGTGGTGACAGTTGAATAGAAACAAATGTCTTCACAATAACTTCTGCTTTTCCTCAATGTACTCATAATCCTGAACAACAAAAAACAGTAACCTGTAGACCGGTGCCTGTTTTCTGGAAACTTTATAGAATTTAATTTTTTTTTCATGAAAAACTGGAGCCTTCACTCAACATTGCATTTCGACCTATGTCTTTTGTTTGTACACAGATTAGGCTCTAGATGTATTGGCATCAGAGATCTCAGTATGAAGAAGTCAGTGCGGCCAGGGGTGAGTAAGGTGGGAGGAGATCGAGGGAAGGCTGAAGCTACAGCCAACGCTGGCACAGGAAAACCTACCGCCAAGACCAGCACTATAGCCCCTCTGTCTAAGGTACAACTCATCATTGGATGCTGTTGAGCACCGTTTGACTTCTCTCTTGGCTTTTTAATAAAAGATGACAGTGGCACTAAATTTATGCAGAGATGCATTTGAACAGTAGCATATTTCTAGATCAAGCTGACTTATGACCAGGAGCTAATATGTTGGTGTTTTTTTTTTTGGGGGGGGGGGGGGGGGATGTCTTTGCTTTCAGGTGAAAAGCAATGACGATCTTCTAGCAGCTATGGCTGGTGGAAATCTTGCATCAAGTAGTGCTGTCACCAAGACCAAAAGAACAGCTTCAGTTGGCACCAGTGTTACTAGTTTGGACAACAAACCAAAGACAACAGGTGAATTTGAGATTTTACTTTATATACTTAGTATACTATACAATTCAGTATCTCATACTATTTTTTTAATCAGGGTAAGTTTTTCCTCTTTACCAGGAACTTCATCCAAACGTACACCATCAACTTCCAAAGAGCCAACACAAGACCGTCTTCGGACTTCCAGAACATCAGCCACCAAAAAGCAGCTGGTGTCTGGGTCTAGAGTGGGAGATGTGGCTTCTGGGAAGCGATCACGTGGCCAAGTCCTTACAGAGTCTAAGGGTTGTATGAGCAAATCCAAATCAGACGGTCAGATCAGTGATAAAGTGGCTCTGGAGGCTAAAGTTAAAGACTTGTTAAGTTTGGCTAAAAGCAAAGATGTGGAGATCCTACACCTGCACAGTGAGCTGAGGGACATGAGGGCTCAGCTGGGTCTGGGAGGGAAAGAAGTCCAACCCCAGGAAGAAGTTGGTCTCATGTCAAAGCCTCATGTTTCAGCTATCACAGTGGCAGATGTGGAGTCCACTCTTATTCTTCTACAGGGTCAGAACCAGGCCATCAGAGAGGAGCTGAACCTTCTTAAGAGCGAGAACCGCATGTTAAAGGACAGACTCAATGCTTTAGGTTTCTCCCTGGAGCAGAGGTTGGACAGTTCTGAGAAGCTCTTTAACTATAGCTCCCTTAGTCCAGACCTGGCAGCAGGCAGTGGGCAGAGCGATGGTGGAGGCACAGGTACACTGACCTCCTCTGTAGAAGGCTCTGCTCCCGGTTCTTTGGAGGATCTTCTCACGGGACAACAACACGGCGGCTCTGCAGATAACCTGAACAGTGAATCCAGTGAGGTGTATCAGGCCATCACCTCCAGTGACGATGCTTTGGATGCTCCATCTGGAGCCTCCTCGTCTTCAGAGTCAGAGTGTGCACCGAGCAAGGAGTGGTCACGACGGGGCAGCAGTGGCAACGCCAGTGACGTGTCTGTTGCCTGTCTGACAGAGCGAATCCACCAGATGGAGGAGAACCAGCACAGCACTGCAGAGGAGCTCCAGGCAACACTGCAGGAACTTGCTGACCTGCAACAGATCATGCAGGAGCTGAACGGTGAGAATGAGCGGCTTGGTGAGGAGAAGGTCATCCTCATGGACTCTCTCTGTCAGCAGAGTGACAGGCTGGAGCTTTATGGCCGCCAGATTGAGTACCTTCGTTCCCTGCTAGATGACCATCACATTTCATGTGTCCTAGAGGAGGACATCAAGAGTGGGCGCTACATGGAGCTGGAGCAGTGCTATGCAGATCTGGAAGATAATGCCCGCTTTGAGCGGGAACAACTCCTGGGAGTACAGCAACACCTGTCCAACACACTCAAGATGGCAGAACAGGACAACGCCGAGGCCCAGGAGATGATCGGAGCTCTAAAAGAGAGGAATCACCAGATGGAGCGCACCTTGGAGTCAGAGAGACAGGATCGCACAGCCATGGCAGCAGCACTGGATGAGTACAAGGTAGTGGTGAGCAACGACCAGGCGGAGCTTGGAGCAACGCCCGGGCGGAGCGTAGCCGCTGCCGAGCCCAGCTGGACCAGGAGAGGCAGAGGGTGGCGGAGCTCAACTCTCTCCACACAGCGGGGGACAAAAATGATATCTGCCAGCTGCTGGAACGTGTTCGTCTGGGGAAGGAGGAGGCTGAGGCCAAGGCTGCGAAAACGCAAGACGAGCTAGAGCAGGCTCAAGATGAACTCAGCCGCCTACAGGAAACTTTCATTAAGGTTAGCTAAAAAAGTGTGTTATGCTATCAGAGTTTGAGTTTATTTTCCAAGTTGAGCAGCAACCTTTTTAAGGCTCTTGTAATTTTCTGCTTGTGAAAGCTAGGCTTTGGCTTTTATTTGTCTGCTCTCTAATTTCATTTTTGGCTGATTAATCTGTTTTGAAATGTCTTTTAATGAAACTTGGACCTTTGTATTTGATAACAATTGCACATTTTTGCACCTCAACAATCGTGCATAACATTTTACTTTCAGTCATCCATAGAAAGTAATTCAAAATAAATAGATTTTAGTACTAAATCAGCAAGCATTAAAAAAAATAAACCATTGGTTTTATTTTTTATTTATTTAAATCACAAAATCATCGTTGGATCATTCAGCAGTCCTTATCTCCTCAGTGCAACTCTCAACACAGTACTGCTGCAGAAATATAATTAAGTCACACACTATAAAAAAATCCATCTGTTTATTTACATCAGTCTAATAATGAAGTTTGTTGCTTGTGGATAATGAAGTAGTCCTGTTTGTGTGTGTGCAGCTGGACAGAGAATACAGGGAGTTTCAGGAACAGGTGTGTCAGCAGATGTCCGAGCAGGAGCGTGCTTTAGAGAAACAGCTCATGGAGCTACAGGAGAAAGAGAGGGAGATCGCTGACATGAAGGAGACCATCTTCGAGCTGGAGGACGAGGTGGAGCAGCACCGAGCTCTGAAACTCCACGACAACCTCATCATCACAGATCTGGAGAGTAAGTGCAGTTGAAGCACACTGTGTAACCCTGTGAGTCATGACTCACACCAATATATGGGTCATGACCCAATATAAATACCAAAAAAAAAAACTACTTATAAAAGATCATGTTATGCCTAAAACCAAAAACCAACATCTGGTAAGAAAGCAAACGACTATCTCCATAGATCAAATCTTGCTGTAAACACAAAATTCCTCCAGCCATAACTATGTAGATGAGCATCTGTTGTTTTTTATGTGTAACCGCTGACTTTTTCTTTTTATCTCAGACTCTGTGAATAAGCTACAGGACCAGAAGCATGACATGGAAAGAGAGATTAAGATTCTTCATCGTAGACTGAGGGTAAATGGACTTTTAGTGGGGTGGCAGTGCACATTCCTATCACATTTTTCAGCAATGATTTTAAATACACTGTGTGCACAATTATTAGGCAAGTTGTATTTTTGAGGATTAATTTTGTTATTGTACAACTACAGTGCTCTTGGTCAATCCAAAATGTTAACAAACCCTCAAACCTGAACATTTAAGTAGTAAAGGTGAAGTTTTGGCTTTCTTAAGAGAATATCTACATGTACACCATTATTAGGCAACTATTAGTGTGCAGAATTATTATGCAACTAAATGAAAAACAAAGATTTTCCCATCTTCTCAAATCTTTGGTGGTAAATTTACGTCTTTTCTTCTCCGTTGTTTCTTGCGACCCTGTTGACCATTTGCAACAAAATATTTGATGGTTCTGTGTTCACACCCCAATATCTTAGATATTTCAAGAGTGCTGCATCCCTCTGAAAGACCTTTTACAATTTATGACTTTTCAGAGTCAGTTACCGTATTTTCACGACCATAAGGGCGAGAGAATATAAAATAAACGAGTCGATGGTTCGCAAGTGGAGGAAGCTGGAGAACGAGCTCCGACAGGTGAAGAAGACTCAGCTGAGTTTCCGCGGACATAAGGCGAGGTGGCCGGAGTTGGAGGAAAGACTCGAGCTATGGATCGTCGAGCAAAGAGCGAGCGGGAGGAGCGTTTCGACTGTCACCATCCGACTCAAAGCAGTAACGCTAGCAGAGGAAATGAAAATTGAACATTTCCAAGGAGGTCCGTCTTGGTGCTGGCGTTTTATGAAACGGTGCCATTTTTCCATCCGGACCAGGACTACGGTAGCGCAGCGACGTCCGGCGGATTATTCTGAAAAGCTGGCGAACTTTCGGTCCTACTGCGAGAAGCACATCGCCGACAAGCGCATCCAGCCGAGCCACATCACCAACATGGACGAGGTACCGCTAACTTTCGACATCCCGGGGAGCCACACGGTGGCAAAGAAGGGAACCAGCACGGTAGCGATACGCACAACGGGGCATGAAAAGGCTTCGTTTACTGTTGTGCTTGGCTGCCACGCTAACGGACAGAAACTGCCGCCGATGGTGATTTTTAAGAGAAAGACTTTGCCTAAAAAGCAGTTTCCAGCAGGCGTCATTATTAAGGCAAACGAAAAGGGCTGGATGGACGAGGATATGATGAAGGAGTGGCTGAGGCAGGTGTATGTAAGGAGACCGGGAGGTTTATATAAAACTTGCGCCCTATCGTCAGGTGCGCCCTATGTGTGTGTTAAATACAGAAATGGCACACATAAATGAGACTGCGCCTTTTCATACGGTGCGCCTTATGGTCGTGAAAATACGGTAAATCTTTTTTGGCCCATTCTGTCTAATAATTATGCACACCTTGATATAGGGTGTTCATTTCCTTCAGCCACACCCTCCCTCGTTACACAAATAAACATCACCTGATATGCAGTAAATCCAATAAGCATTCAAGTTTATACAGCTTGGAGTTGGAAATTATGGATAAAATGATGATATGGTCAAAATACTCACTTGCCTAATCATTGTGCACACAGATACACTGTTGCTGCTACAATAGCCATGGGTGTTCAAAGCATCATCAAAGCCCTAAAAGCCATAAGGTGGATTAGTATAGTATATTCACAGATTTGAAAGGTTTGAATATAGATTCAGAATGTGTTTGAAACAGACCTATGAAATGTGTTGGATGCCTGTATCTTTGAGGCTGTTTTAATTTACTCTCACATTTCCCCATCAGCCCTCTGAACCGGAGTGTGACCAAAATGCACAATTACCTAATTTATGATTTAGCATGATGTTCACCTTTGCATGTGTATGTGTGTGTATCTGTCCTTAGGAGGAGTCGATGGAGTGGCGTCAGTTTCAGGCTGACCTGCAGACGGCCGTTGTCATTGCTAATGACATCAAGTCAGAAGCACAAGAGGAGATTGGAGATCTGCGGCACCGACTGCAGGAGGCTCAGGAGAAGAATGAGAAGCTGAGCAAAGAGCTAGACGAGGTCAAGAGCCGCAAGTAAGAGCCACAGATGGACATTTGGACTTGTTTCACTAAGTCACGCTGACACGCTCATCCCGTCTTTCTGATGCAAACAAAATATAAATATCACAGAAGGAAACCTTCTGTGACAGACAATAATGATGAAGTTATGGAGAATACTTTAGTTTCTGACTTGGAGTTTGGATCTTTTAACTAATCTTGAGGTATATTTTAGATATTTCTGGAAAAATCTAAGCTGCTCTTGAGGTATTTCTGTCTATATTTAGATAATTTGAGTTATTATAGAATATTGCCATTTTTTCCACCATTCAACTGTGCTTCATAGTAGACATGATCTGGATTTACTAATACATTTTCACCTGATCCCCTACTTAATTCTGACTCCACCTGTCCAAACTGAGTGAGCTGCTCTGCGTTTTCCAGACAGGAGGAGGAAAGAGGCCGAGTCTATAACTACATGAATGCAGTGGAGAGAGACCTGGCTGCTCTCAGACAGGGAATGGGTCTCAGTCGACGTTCTTCCACCTCCTCTGAACCTTCTCCCACTGTCAAAACACTCATCAAGAGCTTTGATAGTGCTTCACAAGGTACCAAGAACTTTAATAGTCATTCATAGACATTCATTTTCATCAGTTCCTTTCTGCAGAGGTAAAATCTATGGGATAATTTTGACACAGGCAATAGAAGTTATATGTGATTTTTTTTGTTTGACCTCAGGTCCATCGAGCACCAGTGCTGCTGTCGCTCCAACAGCTACAGCTGCTCCACTCCCACGAACTCCGCTCAGCCCCAGCCCCAGCCCCATGAAGACCCCACCGGCTGCTGCAGTTTCACCAATACAGGTATGGAAAGTGTCGTGGCCCTCTGCCACCCCGGATTCGCTGATCGATCTCAAACGGTATTAACTAAGAACTTTCATAAAGTACAAAGAAAAGACAAAAGTCGTTGCTCGAGTTCGCCTGTGCACAGGGAGGATCCAACGGAGAGTCAGAAGACTAACTGCTGAATTCTGCCCCTTCACAAAATCAGGCTCTTTTTATTAGCAGACCCTTGCCCAAAATACACAGATGTTGCACGTCAGATTGACATCCTGTTTGTTA